GAGGGCGCCACCTTTCTCCTAAACCAACTACAAGTTACTTCTCATCTTGGTGTCTGTCTGACTGTCTGTCTGTCTCACCGCCCCCACACCTCTTCAAACAAAATAAAGCAAAGGTTCTGGGTCTGTACCCAACATTCAAGTTCTCTCTCTCTCATTCCAGCCATTGGGGCAGAGAGGGGCTGAGGCACAGAGCTGCGTGGTAATTTATCCCAGATCTCAGAGTGAGCTCTGCTGGGGTTGGATGTGTCCCTTCCGCCCCACCCTTCTGCTGGCCTGGCTGCTTTCTCACAGTTCTTCAGAGAAGGCGGTGGGGATAAGGGCTGCCCTGAAGAATTCAGCTTCTGTGAGAGGAATGCTGCGTTGGGCATGACCGAGGCTAAATGATCCCATCCTCTGTGAAAGATGCTTCAGTGTTGCTGATAAAAAATCTCCGGGCTTGAGAAAGCGGCAGGTGTCAGGATGAACAACCCTATCTCAAAGCCGCCTTGATTTCTTTCACTTTCAATCTACGGAGGGGCCATCAGCGAATCCCACATGGCAAAGGTCTCTCATCATTTTCAGATGAGACGTTTAATGAGCACAAACCTCCTGCAGGCGGGGAGGGGGAAAGATGACTAAGATCTAGTCACCTCAAGGTGCTGACATTTGCTCTGAAGGGACTCAACGTTCAGATGGGGCATTTGTACCTAGAAAAAAACTAATAAACACTTAAAAATCCTGAGCAACCAAGACAACAGAGGTCATGGGGCAGCAAGGAATTGTTTTTTAAAAACCTCAGGAAAAAAACAGAAAAAAGCTCCACCATGGTGGGTGCCCCAGTGGGCTGGGCTCAGCAGAGCCAGAGGGGCTGGGAGGCAGTGGGACGTGGCTCCAGCACAAGCCCCAGGCCAGCGGTGGCCCCTGGGTGGCTGTGGCAGAGTGGGTGGAGGGAAGGCAGAGGCCAGGCTGGGCCACCACGGTGGGGAGGGTGAGCCCTGCGGGGCGGCGAGGAATGAGATGGACGTGGGGGCACCACCCCTCCCTCCTCAGCACTATCAGGTTGATGCCTGCGGGTCACCCTCACCCTCCTGCTCCCACCCCACACACTTCTACAGAGCAGGGAGGAGAGCAGATAAAGCTCCCTGGCGAGGGCGGGCCCCTGGCAAGACCTGCTCCCTGCTTCAGCCCAAAGGAGTCCCAGCAGACAGAAGCACTTCCTCCTCTGACACCCGCCCCCAAAGGTGGGGAGGACGCCCTGCTATGTGCTCCCACAGTGGCTGCTCCTCTCTCCCTCTTCCCAGTGCTCACGGACCTTTACTGTAATTATACCCGCATATGTCTAGGCTCCCCAGTGGACCATAAGTTCCATGATACAGGGATACACTCAAAGAACTGATTGAATAAATAAAGGGATGCTGGAAGGAGGAAGGGAGAGAGGGGGAGGGGAAGGGAAGGGAGGGGGGGTGATGGAACAAATGACTGAACGATCTAAGCTGCCCGCAGGGTCACTGTGCTGAGGCCAGGAGTGCCATTCACCCTGTGCTTGAGGTGGATGGTGCCTCCAGCAGCACAACTGCTGGGGGGTGGGGAGGGGGCTCAGGGGGGAGACCGATTAGAGGGAGAAGCTGGCCTGCTGGCCTCAGGCTGGGAAAGTAGATCGCCCTTGTGTCCCTCAATCCTCCTGCTTCAGCTGGAGGAGCCTCAAGGAAGGCAGATGAGCAGAGGCCAGAGGGCCGCACACACGTCCCATCCCTCCGCCCTGCCACACACGTGGAGAAGCCCCAGGGGATGCATCAGAATTCAGGAGGAGGGCTGGGTACCTTCTGCAGACACCTGCTCATGACTGCCTTCTATGGACACCACCAAGTGCACAAGTGCCCTCCTCCAGTCCCCCACCACTGCCGTCAGCACAATGGCACGGCCAGCAGACCCAGAGAGCCTTCTGAGCACCAGCAGGACTGCACAGCCTCCCTACTGCAAGGAAACCCTTCATCTGGGTCCACAGCACCCTCCCCACAATCCCTCCGCCTGCCAAGCTGACACTGCCGGCCAGCCTGTATCCCATGGTCCAGGGCACAGCCACCATTCTGCTGCCAGGAGGGGGCGCTCTCTTGTGGGCTAGAGGTGTTCTCTCCAGGGTGGCTCCTCAAGGCTTCCCACTCAAACCAGGTCCCTGAGATCTTTGAAGGCGTGATGGTCCCAGGGTTATCTGGTCAAGGGCACCCTTTCATCGCTCGGCCCTGAGGCAGGCACTCCTCTCTGGGATCCAGCTGTCTTAGAGAAATGCTACCACTATGCCAGGCACAGGAAACTAGAGAAGGCCACATCCCTCCAGCCCCTTCCCCTGGCCCCTTTCCAGGGACAGCCCATACAGGCCAGCCTATGCTGTTCTAGAAGTCTCTGTTGTGCTCAGCTGACCCAAGTTCCCCATGTACAGAAGGGGAGGTTACCTTGGAGGTCACACAGGGAGGGTGAGCCAGGGTGCGGGTGAGGGCTGCTCCCTCCACCACACAGGCTGCAGAGGATGTGGGCACAAAGGACCAACACGTGTAAAAGTGCACTGCAGGCAAGATGGAAGTCGTGGCCGTAGTGGCAGTCCCCCGTCCCATCAGGCTTAGGGATGCACATGTCCCCTACCTAACTCAGGGCCCCCAGAAGATCTGTAAAATCTATGGTAAACAACCCACCAATGACATATTAAAGTGGGAGGAGGTTTTTCAGGGCCTGGGGCTCCCTGCCAGAGGGAACCAGAGTGGCTAATAGCCAGGCTCACTGATGGCAGTGCCTTAATGACCATGTCCCAAGGGCCCAGAACCATGCTCCCAAACAACTAGCCCGGCACCCCTTCCAAGTCACCCAACCTAGCCAAAAGCCTGACCAGACTACAGCAACCCTCACCCTTCTCAGGAAGGCTCCCAATTCTTGTCTTCCCCAATTCAAGGTCACCTTATTTCCCAATGACATGTTAGTGACTGGGAACAGGAGACACGAGTTCCAGCCCCAGAAATGTTAACAACTCACAACAGGACTCTGGGCCCACTCCCTGCCCCTGCCCTGGGGCACAGACTCGCCATATAAATCGCTGGGGAAGTGGAGACTCACACTTTGAGGCCTTCAGCTTTCCTTTCTGTGATTTTAGGTGCAAAGCAAGTTTGCAGGGCCCAGCAGGGGCCTCAGCCTCAGGGATTCTGAGGAAGATCCGAATATTTGCTCAAACACACCAGAGACATTCCGCTCATCAAACCCCTGATCCATGACTGAAGCGTGTTCAGACTGGGAATAAACAAGTGTTTGCTGAGAATCTCCCAGGGTCCAGGCCCTTGGAGAGGCACTGGGGGAACACGAAGGGCTAAGAGAACTGCCCTCAAGCAACCGTTTCACAGAGAAAGAAACTAAGGCTCACAGAGGCCTCGAAATCTGCCCAAGGGAATACAGCTAAGAATTCAACTCCCAGGGCTCCAGGCCCAGTAAGACTAGCACTGGGATGTGAAGACCCGCCCCCCCCACCAAATTCTTTCAGGCACAAGAAGTTAGTTCTCTGAAACTGGAATGTATTAAGATCAGAAACTCTGACTTCCGGACACAGGGCTGGCTGGTTGAGTGGATCTTGTTCTGAAATGTCAGCCTGGCCCCCAAACCCTCATTAGACCTTGACCACCTTCTGATACCTTTCCCTGAGCCAACCCTCCATCCCAGGTAATGAGCAGCAGCAGGCAGGAGCCTGCCATGTGACCTCCGCCACCCACGAGTACACGCATCACAGAGACATTGTTCCCCCAGCCCACCAGGTCCTCTCAAGGTTGTGTTTGTCTTGGCCCCGTGTACAGACAGGCACCAAATTAGGTGAACTGGACTGGTCAGTAGAGCCAGAGCTGGTGGTCCCGCCCGCAGGGACTGCATTCTCCCAGAGCAGAGCTGGTCAGGGCCCAGCTTGTCTCCCTGCAGCCCCAGGTGAGAGCCTCTGGAGGGATGCTCTGAGAGCCACTCCCTCCTACAAGTGTCAGGGGGTCCGTGCTCTTCAATCTGATCTTCCCACCTTGGGTTTCAGAGATGCTTTCCCAGGGAGGCTGCTGGACCGCACGTAAGCGGTCTGTCTCCCCCTCCCCCCGCCCCTGGCCCGCTGCCACGGTGACCTCCCCTCCCCCAAGAAGGGCGGTGAGCTGGGAGGTGGGGGTGGGAAGAATCCGCCGCCAACGCTCTCGGGAGGGGAGCTGGGAAGCCAGGCAGGGCGTGTCGCCTGGTCCTTTCTCTGCCCAGCGCCAGGCTTCACGGCTCTTGGTGCGAGGCGCCCCGTATTATCCCTCAAATCCACCTCACATTAGGAATCCTTGCTGCCCAGACCCCATATCCCCAAAGAAGCTAACACACACCGGCGAAGGGCAACGTGTCTAGAATCTTCTGTGCCCAGTCGGACATAAACCAGGGGAGGTAGGCGACCTGTTTCCCCACGACCTGCACCCGATCTTTCCAGAGAAGACAGGTGTCGGTCTCCCTCCCGCTGCCGTCGGCCCCGGGGCCTGGACGTGCCCGTAATTACGCATGGTTCAGAGCAGGGGCCGCAGGGAACCCCTCCGGTGCTGCAAGGTTGGGGGCGGCTAGACGCCAGCCCCGTCTCGTTCTGCAAAGAGGGGCGCCCGGCCACCTGCGCGGTCGCCCGCAGCCGGTGCCGCAGTGCGAGCGAGCCATCGAGCCCGGAACCTGCACGCCTCGGCCGGCGCCGCCGAGTGAGCCGCCGCCCTCCAGCCTCCCCGCCGCAACGCACCTGCACCCCGAGCCCCCACCCCAGATCGCACCCTCACCCCCACCTTTGCCCCCAGCGTCTCCAAGGTTCTTACCCTTAGTCCCTTCCATACCCGGCCCCACCCGAGCCGGCCCCGATCTCTCCATCTCCATCCCTCCCCTCTATCCAGGCACGGAGGGGCCTTTCCCAGCCGATCCGCGGCCGGGGTCGCAATGGGGTGGATGATTTGGCGGCGGGGGCTGACTCGGCGCCCAGCCAAGAGAATAAGCGGGGTACTTACCGCTCTGCTCCCCCAGGAACACCAACTT